TTATCCGAAAAAATATAAATTTTCTTTTATAATTGTGTAAATGTTCTTGTATTTGTAACGTAACGTTATCGAAATATGAAACGATATATAATTTGTTTGTATCACTTTTTTTTATATGCATTTTATTTTGGAGATATTATGAGCCAAGCTGTGTTGCATGCGAACACGAAACGAAATATATCATTCAATAATTTATAACCATTCTAACCATGTATTTACTCTTTTCCTCTCTTTCTCTTCCTCCTTTATTTATTTATATTTTTGTGTTGTTTTATTTATATCTTTGAAATACGTACGAATAATACGTAACTTATTCTCATACGGAAATCCAAGATAGTAATCTTGCGATGGCTTTAATAATGCTGAACAAATTTTTATTGATGCTCAACAGGATGTTGTAGAGCGAAGGTATATTAAACCGCTAACTCAGACAAAAAAACAGAAATAGAAGCTTGTTGGAAGCGTGACAGTGAAGAGTGTTAATAAACGAGTCTCCTCGTCTTATGATCGCTTGCGGTAACGTACGATAGCATAACTGTAATCTGCGCATGAAACCCACAAATTCCGCATTGCAGGGGAGCATTGCTATATCGCCGATGCAAAATCGACGAATGTCATTAATTGTCACGACCTTTTCTATACAGTTGTTCTATTTTTCAATAGGTTAGATATAGAAATATATTCCATGCCATAAAAATAGCCGGACTTCGAGGAACTGCTTCTGATTATTATTAGACCAAACTTGTCAAATCTTATTAGGAACGAAAACGTCTGCTTCTTAAAAAGTTTCAAGAAATTGTTAAATTAAATAAATTTCTTTGTGGCTGCACAACAAAAATCAATTTTTTTGTGTAAAATAACTTTTTTCTAAAATAAAATTTCATTGTTTCGATTTTGTTTTTTGAATGGTTCGTTGCATTTCTCATGAAATGAAGCAAATAATTAATAATTTGATATAAGTTTAATAAATTTTACTTTATTAATAATAATTAATTTGTTAAATTAAAATATAATGTCAATGTGCTAATTGAATTCACTGCAGTCTTTCCATCGAGAAAAAAAAATTAATTTCTTTCTTTTCAAAAATGATTTGATTCAATGGCTTTATTTAGAGTTTAATACACTGCTATGCGTTAATTTAATAAAAAATAAAATTTAAGAATTTTAAAAATATTTTATATACGTCGCATGTGTGTCAACATCGTTTGTTGATACAAAGTGCTTAACTGCTACTTAAGTGTCATTGTGCATTATTATGCATATATCGCTTGTTACGCATAAATGCAATAAAGAGGTGAACTTGAATCGATCAACATGTTCAGCCATCATGACGTATTAGAAAAGTAGTACAACTTGATTCAGAAAAATTCCGATTCTCGTAACACTTCATTTTTCATATTTGCATTTACCTCAGCAGCGTTTAAAAACAGATGTACTTTATCAAAAGCTGCTTACCTTTAAATCTCGCTTTTAGCTTTAGAAAACTTTGCAAAACTTTTATCGCTCATCTCGTTCTGTTGTCAGGTATTTAAAAGTACTACATTTTAGCTTTTAAGTTTTATTCCTATTTAAACTCGCAGTGATACTATATATATATATAACTCGGATGGTTGTATGGAAATCTGAAATCAACAAGAAAAGGAAATTTCTGCAAGAGAGAGTTTACAATATTATTTTATTTTCGTTTTTATTATTTTATCACAGACATTGTGATCGGATATAGAATCAAATTTTCAATGCGGAATGAAAAAACAAAATTTAATATTTTGTAAAAACATTATACGAAATAAAGATTAAGAAGTGTCGGAGTCTCGGAAATGCGCAAGGAATTATACCGGAAAGATTCAATAGCATTGAAAGAAAAGTAGTAAAAAAGTATAAATAGGTTGTCGGTGCAAATTGACAGACAAATTTGTTCCAGTGCGTCGTTCGACAAAGAGAAAAAGGATGAAATTAACTTTTCTCTCTTCCATATTTTGTGAGAAAATAAAATATCTCGCGATCAAATACATCTATTGAGAAAACGGCGCGATGTCGATGCGCGATCTGCGTACGGAGGAGAAGAAGAAAGAGGACGAGAAGAAGAGAAGAAGAGAAGAATGAGCAGGAGGAGGAAAAAGCAAGCAGCGTGCAATGAAAACTGTCGTGACACCGTCGGCACGCCAAGGCTTGGTGACCCGCAAACAGCGGGACACTATTCTACAAAGGCCGTCCGTCAAGCATCAATAATGTAGAAGGGTCATAGCGTGGCCTTGCCG